ATGCATAGGAAGAAAACCAAACCTACTTAAAAAATGGACAGAAAGCACTTAGAGTTCATAGGAGAACTATAGACACATGGATCAAAGAAGTCAAGATGTCATTCTTTGTGTGTCAAATTAGCAAAAGTTAAAAAGAGAATCTAGGGATGGCAAGTGAGGGTAACATGCAGTTTTCTTCTCTTGGGCGCTCTTTGTTAATTTCTCAGTTTTACCAGAAGGAAAAGGAAAGTTGTCCCACTTCCTATTTCTTACTGGAAAGGTTAGGGAATAACTGGCCTATGAGTTTGTCTCAGCTTGGCACCTTTTTTGAGCTTTTATAATTCTTTAAAAATTCAAATGTTACTTGTTCAGGCTTTCAAAAAATAGTTTTCCTAAAAAATTTGCCTTTTCATCAACTTTTGAAATCCTTTAAAAAGTATGAACTAACCTAAAAGTGTGATAAGTACATAGCATTTGTGTTTGCCCTTGTTTTTAAAAGATGTTCTTTGTGATACTCAGCAAGTATCATTTTAATTGTCACTGAAAAAGTTTTTTGTTTTTTAAAATCAGGATTAGGTGTTTTGTCAGCCTTTTGACATCTACTGAATTGATACAAAGATACATCTTTCCTGTTTCTGAAAGTGTTAACATCCCTTTTTAAGGAAATGTTAAAATAGAAACATGACATAAATAATAAATAAATAATAATCTGGGGAGGGAGTAATAGAGATTTTTATAGGGCATGTTTTTTCTCTCTGAAATAAAAATTTGGGAACCATTGCATATAGTAGTACTTTTGACAACCTGAATTAATAAACAGCAGAAGCACTGTGAACAGTTTCTTCTAAGTTCAGAGTGGCCAGTCTTGGGGCAAGTCAGGGGGTGCTTCATTGCGCTCCAGGGGAAGTTTCCTCAGACTTGCTCAGGCGGCCTGAGCTTTGATCTTAGCCCGGTGCCCTACGTAGCCTCTTGTGCAAAGGGCAGGGTTTCACGATTCTAGAGTGTGGTGGAGTGTTTGAAGGGGAGTGGTGCTGTGGCACCACTTGGGACTGGTGCCAGTGGCACTGTGGCACCAGTTCAAGGATGCTCCCTGATAACCCAGGCTTGTTTTTGTTGAGTGACCCTTCCTGCTTAAGTCTTTTCTCAAAAATAGAACTTCTGACTCAGTTCTGTGTTTTGGTCTGCAGTAGCTGTTCACTGCAGTTTGGAAGCAAAGCTTGTCCTATCAAATACTCATCTTACAAATCAGCTTTAAAAAACACTTTCTAAAAATACATCTTCACGGGGTCATTGACTTTTCCTCATCCTGTTGGAATTTTTCTATGATTTGTAGCTAAAGTGACATTTGGTTAATTTGCAGCTTTGCCTTTATGAAACCTTTTGAACAATTAACATTTTACTTTAAAGTATTTAGAAATGAATGGTACATGTGTTGAAAAATAATTCTAACTTGTCAGAATTGTATAAAACAAATTTTGAAGTCACACCAGCTCTTGTTATACCCTAGACTTCCAGGTGATTTGATGTTTTTCCTTTCTGATCCTTTTCTGTGTCCACAAATCTGCACCATATAATTATGCTTTTAATAACAGTGGGGTTATACTATATGTATTGTGCAACTTGTGTTTTTAAAAGAACAATATATATGATTAGAGTTTATTTAACAGAAAATAAGCTGTTCTCTCAAAGCTTTTTGTTACTTTTTTTCATGTTCTTTCCATTATTCCTAATCCTCCCTGGTGGAAGTTGCCTTTGTGCCTTCCTTCTGACTGTAAATTTTTAATAAACACAGCTTAAAATAGATTGATGGTTAGGGAAATTTTATTTTGGGGAACAAATGGCCTTTTTTTTTTGCCTCACATGCAAAATATGTTTTAGAAAGAGAAAAGCAGAATTTCTCTATTCATATTCTAATCACTCAAAATGAGTAGTAATATTTTTTCTTCCAAACAGCAAAGACCGATGTTTAGTTTCTGACATTAAAAAATAAACAGCGTCACTGGAGTTTCATTGAAAGAAAGTCTGATGACATTTAGTGCTTGCTTACCTTGGGGTCATCAGTGAATGTTGATGCTAACGAACCCAAAACTAACAGTGGAGGTGAAAGATTCACAGCATAAACATTTCCTAATGAGAAACTGCCATTACCTTGTGCTGTTTACTTTACAATGGGAAGGCAAGGCTCCTGATGCCTGGCTGGCTGTTCCAAAGACAGCTGCTGGAGTCAGGCTCTGTGTTTTTCTCTTTGTTTTTTTAATTTTGAAATATATGTATAGATGTAAGTGTGTATAAACAGGTTTATTTAATAAACAATAAAATGAACATGAGTACCTAGTCATAACCCAACTTAAATAGAATGTGACACAGCATTTTTGGAAGCACCTTCTAATATATTAATACATTTTTGAGAGGTTTTAAAAGAAGGTGACCTTTGAATAATTAAATCTTTGCTTTCCCTACAAATGCAATACCTTTAGTTCATTCTAGCAGTGGCATTGGAGGCAATGTAGAGTTATAATTAGAGGTGAGCGCTCTGCAGTCATGGTCCTGATGGACTCTGACCCCTTCACTGTCACATCTCTTATTTTTTTAAAGAATATTTTATTGATATGCTATTACAGTTGTCCCATTTTGTTCTCCCCTTTCTCCCCTTCCACCCTGTACCCCCTCTCTCAGCAGCATTACCTCCACTTAGTTCATGCCCATAAGTCATACATACAAGTTCTTTGGCTTCTCCATTTCCTATACTATTCTTAATCTCCCCCCTCCCCCATCTATTTTATATCTACCATTTATACTTATTAATCCCTGCACCTTTCCCCCAATTCCCAACCCCTCCCTGCTGATAACCCTCCTTGTGCTCTCCATTTCTGGGATTCTGTTCCTGTTCTATTTGCTTAGTTTGTTTTTGTTTTTTAGGTTTGGTTGTTGATAGTTGTGAGTTTGTTGTCATTTTAGTGTTCATAGTTCCAATATTCTTTTTCTCAGATAAGTCCCTTTAACATTTCATATAATAAGGGCTTGGTGATAATGAACTCCTTTAACTTGACCTTATCTGGGAAGCACTTTATCTGCCCTTCTCTTCTAAATGAAAGCTTTGCTGGATAGAGCAATCTTGGGTGTAGGTCCTTGCCTTTCATGACTTGGAAGACTTCTTTCCAGCTTCTCCTTGCCTGCAAGGTTTCTTTTGAGAAATCAGCTGACAGTCTTATGGGCACTCCTTTGTAGGTAACTGTCTCCTTTTCTCTTGATGATTTTAAGATTCTCTCCTTATCTTTCATCTTGGGTGATGTAATTATGATGTGCTTTGGTGTGTTTCTCCTTGGGTCCAACTTCTTTGGGACTCTCTGAGCTTCCTGGACTTCCTGGACGTCTATTTCCTTTGCCAGATTGGGGAAGTTCTCCTTCATTATTTTTTCAAATTACTTTTCAATTTCTTGCCCTTCTTCCCCTTCTCCTTCTGGCACCCCTATGATTCGGATCTTGGAACGTTTAAAGATGTCCTGGAGGTTCCTGAGCCTCTCCTCATTTTTTTTGAATTCTTGTTTCTTCATTCTGTTTTGGTTGACTGTTTATTTCTTCCTTCTGGTCCAAACTGTTGATTCGAGCCCATATTCCTTCCCTTCACTGCTGGCGCCCTGTAGATTTTTATTTATTTCACTTCATGTAACCTTCATTTTTTCTTTGATGTTACTGCACTCAATGAGTTCTTTGAGCATCCTGATTACCAGTGTTTTGAACTCTGGGTCTGATAGGTTGACTATCTCTTCATTGCTTAGCTCTTTTTCTGGAGCTTTTATCTGTTCTTTCATTCGGGCCATGTTTCTTTGTCTTGGTGCATCTGTTACGTAGTAAAGGGCTGAGTCTTAGGTACTCACCAGGGTTGAGCAACTCATGTCACTCTATTGTGGTGCTGTATGTGGGGGAGGGTTCCGAGAGGGAAGAGTGTCACTTGCTCAGCTCTTGGCTGGCTTTTAGTCATTTCCCCCACTACCCACCAGCGAATTGGGCCCTGCTGGTGCTAATTCCCTGGTAGGTGGGTTTGTGTATGTTGTAGGACTCCATGGGTCTGTCCAATGGACTCTCCTGTGAGACTGGGAGTTTCTTCCACCATTGCAATCCCCACAGATTTTTATAGCCAGATGTTTTTGTGGCTTTATTTCCCCACACTGGAACCCTGGGTTGCACAGTCCTTCTTGCTCCCTAGTTGTTCTTCCCAGTTTATCCACACGCAAATGTGGGTCCCCCAGTTTGCCAGCCACTGCCTCACCTGCCCTGTCTGTCATCGCCTTGCTATGTGTCCTCTCTGCCTTGGCTGCCCATCTCTGTCCCTCCTACCAGTTTGGATGAATGTTTCTTTTTTAACTCCTTGGTTGTTGGGTTTCCATACAGTTAGATTTACTGGTAGTTCTGGTTGTTTTTTGTTTTTAAATTGATTGTTACCCTTCTTTTGGTTGTGCGAGGAAGCAAAGTGTATCTACCTATGCCTCCATCTTGGCTGGAAGTCACATGTATCTCTTATAAGCTCCTGGACCTTGACCAGGAGGCCTCACTCCTTTTGGGTTTCTTACCTGTAAAGTGTGGGCCCAGTGGCTCCTAAGGGTTGTGGTGAAGATGAAATGATGCATGTATGAAGCGTAGCACAATGCCTGGCACATATAGAACAAAAGAAGTCCTTAAAAAGTTATTCATTTGTTTTTTTTTTTAAATTAAGGCCCTGTGCTAGAGAATATGGAATTTAGAAATTGTCAAAGTAAAAAGACCAACTGAGTGAAAACTTGCTTTTTCCAGGCATTGTAAAATACCACCTTTAACATACATTGTGCAAACGGAGAGTTGATTTTTAAGGGACCAAATGTGTAGCTTGGGATCCTGCCCAGGGATGGTCTGGGCCTTGGAGGTGTTCATTAGAAGTGAAGAAGTAACACAGAGTTCTAGGAGTAAGTAGTGGACATCATTCATGCAACATGCCTCATGTTAGATTTACTATTACTCTTTATTTATCATTTGTTTTTCTCTAGCTAGGTCTTGACTCTGCTATCCAGGACTCCCCATGTGGTTTTGAGCTTGGACCTCGACAGCACAAGGACATGGAGCTCAGCGGCATGTAACAAAGCATATGGACAGGTCCACATCCTGGCATTTAGGTGCGTCTGAAATACAATCGTGCTTGTACTATGTTTCGTAACAGATCTGTGCCGACAGCTTGTGTAGCCTTGTAGTGTTAGAACTCCTTTGTGCTTGACCTCATCCTTTGCACGTCAGCAACGGTCTAAATACAATTCTGGGAATAATTGCTAGGTTAATGCTAATGATAAGGTAATGGACTTCTTTAGGCCACATTCCACAAAGATTAATCTAGAAAATAAACAGGCTCAGCCTTGCCACTTACACTGTTTACAAGGTAAAAGAGAAATATTTTCATTTTATATGCTTTTGTCTTATTTTTATCAGCAAATATTTATGTACCTACTGCTGTTGGTGCTTCCAGTCAGGGTCACAGGTATAAACCTGGGTATGAAGACACTTAAGACACATTCCTTCACTCTTTCTCAAGCATTCTGCAATTTAAGTAGTGAGATTAAGCACATATAAATTACCAAGGAGCATTCCTTTGAAAAAATTCTTTCCTTCTATCTTCTTCTGCATCCAAAGCTTGACGGGTATTTTGGTTATTTAAATTTTTTTTTCTATTTGAGACAATACTACAGTGAAATTTCTTGTACATGTTTTGTCCATAGTGAATTCCTGGCAGTAAAATTGTTGGGCACAGTGTATAAGGCATTTCAGTTTTTATGTTTTTTGATAGATTTTGTCAAACCACTTTGCAGAGAACCTGCAATAACTTGTGCTCTTACTGATAAACATTTTCTTACTTTGTCTTGTCAAAACTAAGTTTATGCAGTATAGTGGGTGTAAAACATTGCTAATAGTATTTTTATTTAATTTATATAAAATTTACTGTTCAGGTGTACAGCTATAAGAGCTTTCACAAATGCTTAGAGAGGATCATTCCTTTTAAAAATATTTACTTTTCATTTTCCAATGAAGTCTGCTTGCTATTTATTTATTTTAAAGATTTTATGTATTTTTAGAGAGAGTGGAAGGGAGGGGGAGAGGGAGAGAAGCATTGATTGGTTGCCTCTTGTACACACCCCCATCGGGACTGAACCTGCAACCCAGGCATGTGCTATGATCAGGAATTTAACCTGTGACCTTTAGCTTTGTGGGATGACACCCAACCATCTAGCCACACTGGTTAGGACAAAGTCTGTGCTTGCTATTTAAAAAAATAAATAGAACCTGGGAAATTCCAAAAACTAGGAAGAAGAAAATAGCTTGATCTCACCCCCTAATGACACCACTGTGAACATTTTTGTATATTTCTTTTTAATTTTTTGTGTATTCTATGTGTAGCTTTTTAAAAAGCTATCATCATCAAATTGTGTTACATTTTTAAAGTAATATTTATTAATGATGAGAGAAGTGAAAGGAAAACAATCTTATGCGGGGGTACATGCAAAGTAAAAGGTCTCCCAACTCTTGGTTTCACTTACCACCCTTATATTTCAATTTACACATTTTTCTCTGCTCTGCTGTTTTCACAGAACTTCTCTCCCATATCTTTGGCGGTCTGTGGTGGTCACTTGTCAAGTGGACATGCCACGACCCGCTCAAATTCAACATGTCCAGACCTTGTTCATTACTTGTCTCATCAAGCCCATTTCCTTATTTATTTCTGAACAGGACACTCTTGTCCTTTTCTTAGAGGTCATCTTTGACACCAAGTCTTCGATTTGTTTGTTTCTTTAATATAACTCCTCCTGTCCATCCCTTTTGCTCTTTGTCAGTTACATCATGCCAGTTGCCCAGATTCTTGTACTTGGATCAATACAGTAGCTTCTTGATCTTCAGTTTATCCATCTGTGGGCTCTTTCTGCTTTTGTCACCTTCCTAGAACTCAGGTTCCTAATGTGTTGCATTTACATTGGACTTTTGAGAGTCCTTTGAACCCTGCAAGGGGTTTTTCTGCCTCCACCTCCTGCAGTGTGCTGTAGGTAGGCTGTTTTCATGTCCTGAGTACTCACCACACTTCTGCCTACCTCTGGACTCCATCCTGGCCTTCTACTCAGGATTCTGCATCCTTTCAACCCGACCTTAGTTTTCACTTCCCCAAATTCATTTCAGAACATTTCAAGCCCAGTTGAGTTCCTTTTTCTCCAAGCTCTCATGCAGAGTTCGATAATTATGTTTCTGTAATTCACTAGTTGTCCCAGTCTGTCTACTTAGATGGTAAATTGCTTCATGCATATGCCATTTCCACCTCAGTGTTCTGACTCTTTGTGACAGTGCAGGAAACTGGCCGAATGATTGGTTTATTCCATTTTCTCTGACACTGTCCGTAAAGGTCCCAACATATTAAGCTTTTACAAACAGAAAAGTGAAGGCTTGCTAGTTTCATATTTGTTATCAAGAGCATACAAGATGATAGTTAACTGCCTGGATGCTCATGGCTAAGAATACCAGCTCTGCCCAGTGTCTGGACCCTGCAGACCAGGGTGCCTGGTTCTGGTTCAGGCTCATTTTAGAAGTTGATCCACACATGTGGAGGGACTCAAAAATAAACTCGATCAAAAACTTTTAAGGAGGAAGAGGAGATTTCTATTTTATTAGCAGCTGATTTCCAAGAGGCTGTCTGGTAATTCTGGTGTTTTTGTTTTATAGACTGTGTGCAGACATCAGTGTCTCAGTTTCTAATTACTAAACATGTCATAAAAATGCTGTGTTGTTTATAGTTCGATCAGTAACAACAAAAGAGTTAAATATTTCTTGGGTAGTTTCAAAACCCTATGTAAATACTGATGACTACAGAGCTTATATAAAAAGGTAAGTCAGAAAGAGTTGTGTAATGGTTACTATGAAGGTGATTCCAAGCATATTAGAACAACTCCAGACTTTACAGGTGGATTAAGATCAGATGTTTATAAAGTGAATTTGCTGACTTTCTGTTTGGTATAGGAAAATATTGTCAATAACTCTGTCCTGTTTCTTCTATGATAATTCTTTTTATGTACAGGGTTTACTTTGTTTTAGGTTTGCCTATATTACCAGAACCTGCAGTTTGGTGGTTATAAAGGCCCTCTGGATTTGAGTAATGTTTACCCTTGGATGGACCCTGTGTTTTATTTAGATTTCTAAGTGCTGGTTTTAATCTTCCAGGAAAGAGAGCTCTGACTCCCCTTACGATCTTCCAGTTTGCGCTCGTTAGCATGTGGACTTTTACTTTGCCCTTTCTCACATCTGGCTCTCTCCCTCTTCCTCCCAGTGTTGTAATGTGAGAAATTTATGGCACCAGCCCCTCTCCATCACAGTGTGTGCTGCACAGCCACTTGGGTAGGATACTAATGTAGGGTGTGTTTGGATGTTGGGCTAAGACATATGGCCTGCCTGTGTTGTATGTGTGTTTCTGAAGTCAAAGTATCAGAAGATGTTTTTTGAATGGAGCTTGATCTTGATTTACCACAGTTGTATACTCTGAAATAGCATTTGCTTTTCTCTTTTCCTGGTAGCCACTATTACTGGACCAGTGCTGTCCAGTATAATTGTGATGGGAGTTACATATGTAATTTTCTAGTGACTGTGTTAAATAAGGTAAAAAGAAGCAGTTAACACAGAAATGGAGATCACATGGAAGGTTAGCAACAGGGGAGTGGGAGGGGGAGAGAGGGGGAAAAGGTACAGAGAATAAGTAGCATAGATGGTAGGTAGAAAATAGGCAGGGGGAGGGTAAGAATAGTATGGGAAATGTAGAAGCTAAAGAACTTATGACACATGGACATGAACTAAAGGAGGGGAATGTGGGTGGGAGAGGGTGTGCAGGGGGGAGGGGAATGAAGGGGGGAAATGGGACAAATGTAATAGCATAATCAATAAAATATATATTTTTTAAAAAAAGCAGTTAAAATAATTATTAGTAATATATTTTACAACCTGATATATAAAAAACATCATCACGTCAAGTAATCAATATAAAATCATTAATGAGATATTTAACTTTTCCCTGGAGTAGTAACTCTTTGAAGCCTGGTGTGTATTTTGTATGGCACATGTCAATTGAACTGACCTCATTTCAAGGGCTAAGAAGTCACATGGGGCTGGTGGCACAGCTCAAGGCCCACCTGGCTTTATCTGCTGCTGAGCAATATGTTCATAAGCTTTTGGATTTTGGGGTATGTCATAATGTAAGCCACTTCCATTCACATACTGCTAGTAATACGTACTCATAGTTGAATGGTGCTTCTGTCTGCTTCCCCGTTTTCATTTTTTTCCTGCCAAATTGAGAGGTTTTCCATTGCCTGGAAATGTTTCTGATCCAGTTCAACAAGTAAATGGATTGATAGACAGTCTTTCTAGATGTTACTTCATTTATTCCCTAGCTTGAGAAGAAAACAATTTCTTTTTTTTTTTTAAGCACTTTATTTATTTTTTAGAGGGGGGGAGGGAAGGAGAAAGAGCGGGAGAAACATCCATGTGCAAGAGACACATCAACTGGTTGCCTCTTGTATACCCCCAACTCCCCAGTTGCCTGGCCGACAACCCAGGCATGTGCCTTGACTGGGAATTGAACCAGCAACCTTTGAGTTCATAGGTCAGTGCTCAATCCATGGAGCTATGCCAGCCATGGAAGAAAAAAAATTCTTAACATTAAAACACACACACACACACACACACACACACACACACACACACACACTTTTCTCTTTTACCCAAGAATCACAAATATATTTTGTAGCTTATGACAGTAGACAATGTTTAGGGTCCAATGAATATTTCTCATTTTGTTTTAAAGAAATAATGGATGGCCTAGGAAAATGTGAAGAAGTACAGCTATTGTAAGATAAAAATAGCCATGGGAAGAATTGAGAATAAAAGGATGTGAAGAAATATAGGTAAATCAAGAACCCTTGAACACAGTTGATTTGGAGAACATTAATGCCTACCCTGTGCCCACATCTTCATTTGGTTTCCTTAGTTACCCAGGTGTCAGCAGGAAGTCCTCAGAAAAAAGGGACTCAAGTATCTAGTTACAGGGGAATGCTGACCCTCCCTGCTGCTGCTTGGGGGAGCACACTGACCGCATCAAGTT